TGAATACTGTTCGTTATCTCCATATATTTCATTGTTATACATGTATTGTTACTCAAATAGGGTTAATTCAATCATGTGTATTAATGATATACAATATGTAAGTAGTGGGAGTGACCAGTTGGCATTAAGCAGTTGGCTGTCGTATATGGAATTCAATATTTGTAACGTGGTAAATACCCCCAAAAATTCCAGGGGGAGGGGGCAGGTGTGTAGAAGTAGTCATTCCCTATATATATTTGTGTTCATCTGGTATACGGAATATTCAGAAGTCAAATTTAGTATAAAATCACAGGCCTAACAATTGGTATGAAACACGTCAGTCAAATTACAACCCAACGAATGTAGGTTATATTTGCTAACAAGGTAATTATAATGACCATAGAATATACGAGATGCTGACTTTAAACGAGATTGTTGAAATCCCTGTAACATCAACTTATCTGTCAATGTCTGCCTCGGTTTAAAAATTAAGTATTGAAAAAGTTGGGAGACGTAAACACCATATGCAGGTGAGGTAGTTGAAAAGCTGAAGTATTCTTGTTTGTTATTATACACTTTAGTTGTTAGATGGCCCTTAATTATCGTCTATACTCAATAAAATATCCAAATATGAATACAGATGCGGCAGACTCTCTGGTATCTTTTATTTCGAGTTCACTGGGATATACATGTATCGAGTTGCCTTATGAATGCATAATGTGATAAAACGTCGTCGATATATCTGCATGTGCAGCTGAAGGCCACAGCAAACATTGAATATGAAGGGATCACAAATACCAGTATTACTGATTCATGTAAAATCTGAATGATTTGCAATCATTCTACTTACGATTATATTTCGAATCTAATAAGATAATTTAATGTTTGTTTGTTTAACGTCTCTTTTGTGAATTTTTCACTCATATGTAGACGCCACGACTTGCTGGTGGAGGGCTGCAAATTTTAGGCCTATTCTCAGCACTCAGGGCCATTGAACAGTGCGGGATCTTTTCGTGCGCGCACCTACCGTGACAGGGGACTTCGGTTTATACGGTCTCATCCGAAGAACCAGTCTCCACGTCCCGCAGTGGGATTCGAACTCGCGACGTAAAGGACCACTTCTTATTCTGCGATCTAGAACAAACGCTCTTACCACTGCGCCACGCGGGCGACAATAAGTTTATGTAAAATTATATTTAATGATAACTCCATAAATTTTACAAGGATATATTGCATGGACGAATAAGCTTTAAATTATAATACCAATTTTTAATTTGCTCAATTTAACAGGAACCACCAACCGCTAACACAAAAATCGATAGATAACTGTTTCCTGTATAGAATTTGATATTCAACAATGATTCTCTCGAATTTTGTGCCTTTTGGGGGGGGGGGGGATGAAGTTCGAATATATATACTTAATTTCTTCTTCTCCATGTTCTATCCTTATCATTATTGCATATCTGTAGTGTATAAAATACTAAATGAACATCAATTTGAGAAATAATTGTAGTCTCAAAAAAAAATGAGACCCTCGAGTTCATAAGTATTTTTTTAATGTAATATATGCACTTCAACGTTTCGAAATATCTGACATTTCGAAATGTATATTGTAATGTGGGTCAAAGATAATTAGAGATTTAAAACCAAATTTTGCTAATTCTGCATCAAATGGATATTTGAAGCACTGGGCATCAAACTCGTTCTCAAAACGGTAATGCACTGATGAGTCAAACAACCTGATGACTACTTATTTATTTTTGTACTCCATAGAAAAATGAATTTAAAAAAATTATAATTGTATATATAATTAAGTTGGATCCAGGAAGGGCAGAGGGTATTTCTGTTTGACAACAAAACTTCCTAACATAACTGAGTGCTTACTTTGAGACTTGGGACCGGGGGAGGGATTCGTGTAGGGAAGCCAACTTAGAGGGATGGGTAGGGGAGGCGTTTAATTTGATTATCTCTAAATAATAGTAGTAAATAGAGTTGTGAGTAACATTAAATATAGTTACTTGAAGCACATGAAATTATAATTCACAAAAACGTTTGCATTATAGAGAAAATGCCTTGTGTTTTATGTTATAATAGTAAAATTTTTTGAAAAAAAGCTGAAAAAAAATTACTTTATAGGCAAAAGTTTCTGTGATTTTTTTCTAACAACTTCTTAAAATTCCTTTTTACCTAAATTAATTTCTATGAGGAAATTAAAACAAAGCTGTTTACCAAATTAAAATGTAAAATAATCAAGTATGACTGATAATTTTTGCCTCTTCAATCTTTTCATGAAAAAGTTCATCATTTATATTTTAACACGTAAGATTCCATTTTTTTTTAAACTTTGATTTAATTATTTCGAAATTGCTGCACTTTGAAAACAAGTGGTCTGTTCGTGAACTTTGTAGAAAATTATGTCAAAAATCTATTCAGTTGAAATCCTAATTCTTGGTTTGACCTTTCCAAATTATTTAGAACACCATGAGGAGGAGGATATTGACCTAGAACTGATAATTATAGATGGTAGAAACTAATATCATAAGTGATAAATACATTATGTTATAAAGTATGTTATGTTAAGTTTTACATACTTAATCATATGTTTCAATAATAAATGGAAATAGGTTTTATCTCTTATATCAATATTACTTCTCAAATTTTTCTTATGCACTCGATGAAGGGATTTTTGTTATTCTACCTGTAGCTGGTCTCTTAAGATTTTTTTTTCTTCAGTGTAATAAATGAGTAGTGATGGGAAAAAAATCTGAGAATTTTAAAGTAGCATTTTTGATTAAACCATCCTCTCACTATTTCAAAATAACTAAACAGTCTTCATACTTCTTCATTAGTTGCATGACAGCAGAGTTCAAAATTGCAAGACTTTATCAATGGATAGACATATTAATATAAATACAGTGACTGATAGAACCATAGACGTATAATAGATAGAACCAAATGATAATTTTTGATTCCACAAAAATACATGTATTATTTAAAAAAAAATCTTAAAGCATTAACAGTTTTGAGTCTTAGTATACGATTTTATCTATCAAATTGAACTGTAATGAAGAGTGTTATTACTCTCATTTAAGTAATAATTTTCTCAATTTATTCTTAAAAATCGATTCATGAACACACGTCTCGCACTGTTTGATAAGATGCTTCTTTTTGCATTTTAGATCTGATTCAACATCATGGAGCTATATAGTCTCGTCAGTAACCCCTTAATCGTCAATAAACAGGTGCATTTAAATTTCACAGGTTTTTAAATAAAACGTCCATTTATTAAAAAGGTGCGGTCATGGTTATACAGAATTTCGAGGTCAGAAATTTTGACACGCTTGAATTGCTCTCATCAGTATGCATCAGTGTATAAAGTTTAATGAAGAATACCTGTATCAATATCAGTTTCTTTGAAACTGAGTAAAATGTAAAAACGAAGAAAAAAGGAGGTAAATTTCACGAAATCTTTACTTAGTTGAAATGCACTAAAAATAAGCTTCAGTGTGCAAAGTTCGATGAAAATATCTTAAAACATTTTCTAGAAAACCAAGCTAAAAGCTAAATTGAGCAAACAGGGACATAAGTCAAGGTTAAAAAAAAAATGAGTCAGAAAATATGTATCAAAATTTGAACTTTGAAGAATATCTCTTGACCGTTTAGCCTGAACACCAAGTTTAAACACAAAGTGGATTGGACATTCGGATTGAAGATGGACATGACAAACACTATATGCTCCAGGCTTAGTCAGGGATTGGCTCTGCGTGAAAATAAACACAATCTTATTAAAACTTTTTTTTCAAGGAAATAAACAGTTTACTACAAATGTATTTAAACATGCTTGGTGCTTTGAGCAGGACAATCATTTCATTTGGTGTCGTGACTTGTGTGGATCTTAGTAGAAAACTAGAGGTACTGTAAGCAATGCGCTCACAAAATGATACCCCGCTCCCAAATTAGTACAATGACAAAGTCCATGTTATTGTTTTGCTATGGGAAACCCCAAATATCTGTCTCATGATCAGAACATAAAGCAGAAGGTGCACAATGGCACTATGTAAAAAAGATTCTCTTTAAGTTTCATTAAATTTAATTCAGTGCTATAGAAGGAGTGGCGCATAAGAGTTCGGTACCCCTAATATTATAGAAAGAATGGCAGTGTTCAGGTTTTGATATGGCAAACCCCAAATATCTGTCTGATCGAAACGAAAAATAGAAGATGTACAATGGCATTATGTAATAAAGATTCTGTGAAAGTTTCATTAAATTTTATTCAGTGGTATAAAAGGAGTGGTGCATAAGAGATCGGTATCCCCAGAGTTCTAGATAGAATCGCGTCCATGTTTTGCAACTAATGACAATCCCCAAATATCTGTCAGATCAGAACATAAAATAGGAGGTGCACTATGCTGTAACTAAAATTCTGTGAAAGTTAATTTCATTACAATTTATTCGGTGGTATAGGAGAAGTTGCAGATAAGAGATGAGTATCCCAAATATTATAGAAATAATGGCAGTGTTCAGCACGTTTTGCTGTCCAACTGAAACGAAAGAGAAGAGGTGCACAATGGCTTTTTGTAATAAATATTCTGTGAAAGTCTCATTAAATTTTATTTGGTACTATAAGAGGAGTTGGGGATAAGAGATGAGTACCCTCAAGTGTTACAGACGGACGGAAGGACGTACTGATAAACGTAGGAGAGGACGGACACCCCAATCACTATATACCCCTGCTTGAAAATTTGAAGATATTTATCATCATTACAGAATTTTATACTAGAGACATAAAAAAATGATTTAAAATGAAAGAATTAGCTTTCATACATTCTTTAATAGAGTAGCATATAACAAGCAAATTTCAAAATAATTAGTCATTCATTCAAAAATAAAATAATTACCACCTCCCCCATCCCCCCCCCCCCCAAAAAAAAAAAAACAAAAACAAAACAAAACAAAACAAAATAAAAACAGGAAAAACAAACAAATCAATCCTAACAAAATTTGAAAACAAAAGAGTGACATGATAAAACTTTTTGAGTTATACACATATACACACAATAAGACACTCATTTTGAAACCAAAAATTTACAATCTAATGCGCATGACAACATATCACAATGAGAATATTATGTTTTCATAAATTTGCATTAAAAATTGCAAAATTAAGGCTCCAGTGAAACGTAATCATAAAACAAAACAAACAATTGTATTGTTGTCATCAGATATTGATATGATTTTACTTGTGAAATGAGTACTAATATCTGTAAATATAAATTAAGTATATAAAGATTTTATTTTAACAATAAAATGCTTTGAAATTCTCTGTTGTATTACACTGGATATAATAGTTACAACACTGCAGAAAAAAAACATATTAACCCAGATTTACGAAAATTTATGCCAATTTTTTCCGGAATGATTGCAATTGTCATATCCGATATAACACAACAATCAAAAACATTTTATTGTTTATAGTTGTATATTTCCTTCATAAATTATTCATGTAAAGTTTCATGAGACTAATTTTATTGGTCTGCATGTTACATAAATTTAAGAGCCAGAATAAATGACCCTTAACACTTTTGCTATCTTTGGGGTAAAATTCAGATGACTCAAAATAAAAATGATCTTCCTATTGTTTAGAATGAAATCGTTCCTATTGCTGTAATGACAGCAATATGGAATTCATAATAAATAAAAGAGAAAACATTCAGTGGATGTATTAAAGATATCAGTATAAACTATAATACAATTTCTTTTTTTTTCCTTACAGAAGATGCACTATTCTATTGAAAAAGTGCTCAGAGGAAACATTTCACTCTCCAATTCAAAAGTGAATGTTAAAAAATGCCCGGAAAAAATCAGCTTTTCACTCTAAAGTTCAGTGTGATGAACTTGCTTTCAAATATTAAATAAATTACAGTGATTACCAAGTTTTTTTACACCCTGAAGACTGGCTTTACACAGGGTTTTTACTTATATAACCAATGACTAACTCATCTCTCCTTTCTCCCCCTCAAAAATAGTCTCCATCATTCTTACACTGTCTTTTTTATGGTGCCTTATCAGATTTTTTCCTTCCATTGATCCCTCTCAAGAAGAGGGTGTGGTCTGTATATAGGGCAAGTACAGTTTCATGACCTCGGTCTTGTGTCGAACATCAATATTATCCATTCTCTGTTGTAACACAAATCCAGCATAGTCCCTGCGCTGGTCTACTTCTGGAATAACTAACAAGCGCTCCTTGTTCACTGGGGTCCTCTGTTGGGAGGAGCTGGCACCAGGGAGAACTTTGACCTTTGTGGGGGTTGTCCGGGGACGGCCATATTGGGCAAGTCTCTCATTGGCCTGAAAGTAAAGTGAAGAGGGTTATATTGGGTGAAAATTGAATTTGAAACATTAATCTACAGCATTTTAAAAATTATACCTGAAAGCCATTATAATATTGTATTCTTTATGATAATTCATTTCATTGACAGCTAGGGGTAAACTAGGCATTTCATTAGTTTCATAAAATAAGGGAAAGCTATACCTAACATTTTGTATACTCTCAAGGCTAGTTCACATTGGATTAGGTTAATCCATATCAATTTAATCCACCCAGTTTCACTTAAAATACACTTAATTCATGTTCACATTGCTACTTTTAATGTGGATAGCTTGACTATATCAGTCAATATAATTATATATAATTATGAAATAATATCTCATATGATTATGGATTAGTTAGCTTTCTGATCTAAAGGGTATCCAAAGTGTTTTAAAATATCAGCAAATGCAAATATTTTGGGACAACTCTGTGATGTGAACTGGCCTTCAGTGGCAGACAGCAAAACAATGGTTCAGACCGCACCTCTGGTATGTTTTATGACTGAAACCCAAATTTTGAATTTAAAAGAAAATCATTATGATTCATAAAAAACATTAAATTCTCAAGTTTTTTTTTCTATCCAGGCAAGGTATTACTATTCTGTACTTCACATATAACTTGTGCTACAACATCAAGTACAAGTATGCTATGGGATCCTACATGCAATACAACAGTTTTAAACATACCTCAAAGTCATCATCCTTTTGGGAAAAATTAGAACGATTACATTCCACCAAATACATGTAACATGTGTGTAAGTTATTTCAAAAAATCTTGATATTTTTTCTGATTTTTTCCTGACTTTTTAAAGAAAAATATTTTCAAGAAATCCTATGATTGAATAAAATCAACTGCTTATCAAAAAAAAAAAAAAATGGGTGAAAAACAAGTTATGCTTTGAATTTTTTACCCTACTGCTAGCTGCCAAAAATGTTAGAACCATGCAAGCATGCATTTCACTGCGAACTTCTGAGAAAATTATGATGACTTCATACATGTAGTTATATATTTAAAAGTTTACAGACTCATCTTTATTTTTATAATATACATGCATGTATATGGTTCAATATTTTGTTCACAGATTTCATATTACTTTGTTCAAGATACCACTCTAAAGATTCCTGATTTTCTATCAGGATCTATGATCACACACATGTACACAACTTCTGTAATAAATTCAGGGCTAGAAATAATTATTTTTGTTTACTGGTCACTTGGGCTATCACCTTTTATTTTTACTGGTCAGCTTAGTATTTTCACTGTCCCACTGGGCCAGTAGTTTTAAAAAAGACTGGCCCAAAACCAAAATAATAATAGTAATATTTTTTTATATTGTGATACTTAGAAGTACAACTTAACAAAACAAGAAACAGTAGAAGTTGGGACACACAACCCTGTTAAGTTTACTAGCCTGACTGTGAATGAATTTTATTATACATAAAAAAAAATGCTGACCCAGAGGGCACATGCCCTCTGCAATATATAGCCCAGATTGAAAATTTACTGGCCCCAGACCAGCAGGCCATCAATTATTTTGAGCCCTGAAATTATATAATTATTACATGTTTAGAATTTACTTCAACCGGCTCATTGCTTAAGATAACTATATACAGTTGAACTTCATTATTTTGAACACTGATTTTTCCAATACCATGGATTTGTCAAAGTGATTTGAAAGTCTCGTCCACTTATTCTTTAAGTATTTTACCCTTGATAACTTGAATATTCGGATATCTCAAAGTTTCTTCTCGGTCCCATCGAGTTCGAGATAACGAGATTTGAGTGTATTTACTGACCTGTGCAATAACAGAAATCTGATGCCATGTCTTGGCTCGTTCTAAGTGGTCCCTGAATTCATCATCCACATCTGATTTACTGTGAAATAAAAATGCATACTCCTTAATGATGATCTCGACACCATAATTCCTTCATTGTATTGGATATAATAAACATATTAAAGTAATGATTTCACGCTTCCAGCGAAGGGATTTTTATTCCCTATAGCTTTAAAATGTATGCATTATAACTTCTTGAAGATTTAAAGCACAACCTGATACAAACCTTCTGGCGAGTTTGATTTTCTCCTCCATTTCTTCTGGTTTCTCTGGTTTACTAAGCCACGGTGTACTCATTCTTAACTATAAGAAATTAAAATCAATTAATTACCTAACAACAGTATGAAATGTCCTTAGTAAAATCATCATCAAATAACTAGCTAACAATAAAATAAATTTTTTTTTAAAAACAAATGTCCTGATTTCTACTGAAGTTTATCTTGAAATAACATGGAAAAGACTGACAAGGAATTCAAACTATAATATTCATCCATATATCTAAAACAAACTTATAACAAAGTGCTAGGTATGGACAATTTTGCTTCATTAAAAACATAATTTATAATATACATTAAGTTTACGATATATTTTAAAGCCATGGAATGAAATTCTCTGTACTGTAGGTGTCAATTCAGTATAAGCGTGTTTGCTATATGCGTGTTTTACTGTACTTATTCTGAGTGGATTTTAAGTTGATTGTATGGAAAAAACAACAATGTGAATAAATAAACAGGTTGACTGTATACTATAGTTATGGTACACCTCCTTAATCAGCATTCTCCAGAAAATCCCTTATTGAAATAAAGTTTTATCATTAATGATTGTTACATGTATGTAAAACAGAAGGGACTTATTTGTGGTTTTGATGCTTCAATGATCAAGATGATTTTTTTTTTCTGAAGCCAGGCTATCTTAATTAAGGAGGCATCTTTACAAGTGGGGTAAAAATATATTTAAAAATATATAAAAATAAAAGTTTGCAATATACATTTATGTTGAATTGCAGTGCCATAGAAATTTAATGCTCATTCAAACTGTACACTAATCTTTGTATGCAAAAAATAAATCATATAATATGAAAAATAAATGAAAACATAAAAGCTATAAAAAAAATTACACAACAATGGCTAACACATACATTTTTACACCTTTATAGTAGTTAATGAAATGTATTCTCATATTCAAAAACAACATTGAAGCATATTCTACTTGTCAGTGCAAATCAAAATCATATGGCTACTTAAAAACACAAGAAAAATAAAACTCTAGATATCCAAATTGTTCAAGTACTATTTGAATATTAACCAGAAAAAATCACTGATCATAAAATTTTAAATTCTATAAATCTCCCCCCCCCCCCCCCCTTAAATTTATCATTTTAAATGATGTGCATTTTTAAAAATGTTACTGATCTATGAAGACATTTTCGTCTTAATCATATATCATTGACAAAAAGGGGCTCATGATGGAATAAACAAAATAAAGAGAATTAGGAAAGCCTATGTACTGCCAGGAAAAGATTCTACAAATGAAATTTTCATCATAAAAGTTTTCTGTCACTGAAGGTAAAAACAGTCTTTGCTATACTCTTCTGGTTTTGAGTACTTGAACAATTTTTAAACCCTAATTATAAGCAATCAATCACACTCATTTCTTACTCTATAGTCTGTCAGATTGCTCAAAGAATCACTCAGAGAAAATCCGAGTTTCTGCAGAAATGTCACATTTGCATCAGGGACAATCAGTTTATTTTATTAATCACAAAATATAAGCTATTTTGGTATTTTTAAAAAGATTCCTTACTAATACATGTATGTACAAAATTGTATAATTATGTAAAATTAAAATGTTCTATTTTCTACTTCAAATTTTTAATGACAGATAGAATTAATATCACTTAAATTCAATGAATTTGATTTTGTTTATTAGGATGTTTGTGTTTCAAAAATAATTAATAATAAAAGAAAAATATCCTGGTACATGCTTTACCTGATTTCTTGGCAAAATGACAGGAGTTAAAGATGGAAGTTTACTCATCTCAACAGAGTCAGCTTTCTGTAAATTAAGGACAGCATGAATTCTACCAAAGGAATTCTAAGACATAATCGAAATTTTAACTTCCTTATATTTATAATAATAATTTTTATTTTTTGCTGCACTATTTAACTTTTCACAATACTATTACTGCTAGAGAGTAAAATTTGCATTCGATTTCAATGCAATAATTGTAAATTAATCTATTTATATTAGAAATTTAAAAAATGTATGATAGCTGCCATTTACTGGTACATTTAAACTCGGAAATAGCTAGAAAGAATAAACAGTAGGCACCTTAGAAGCACTAGATTTTCCGAGGAGGTTGACATCCAGTCGATACAAAAGAACCTGACTTTTATATGCACTAACAGACAACATGAACTGTAAAACTGCAGTCAGCAATTGTCTGTAAAAAAGTAATTTACTTAAGGAATGATTAAAATCTATTGTTTGTAAATAAGAAATATTACAAAGAGTGCAAAATAACAATACATGTACTTCTCATGAGAATCTTCTTTCTGAGGCTATAATATATATTCTAAACTTATTTATTAGTCCAATTTATATTATACTTAATATGTATACTCCTTCCTTAATGATTTAGCACAATTACTAAATTACATGTATGTGTAGGTAGTTTTAAATTTAATACAAGAGAAATTAAAATATATAGCTGTCCTGAGAAGTGAAGAACTACATGTATCTCAAAAGTATGACAGGGTTATTCTATTCTCTGTAAAGGAAAAATTAATATCTTATTTTTTTTATGCTACTCATTTGATGTCCTTTTTATACATATACAATGTCCTCCTTGTAGGTAAAATTCAAACAAGGCACATGAAACATTCACTGTATATCAGAAAGAAAAGCTTTTTAAGGTTATATAACATGCAGAAAACATTCACAGGTACTCACTTGCGGCTGGGTGTCTTATTAAAATTGAGCAGCAGGCCTATCTGGTGGAAGCCTGTAGCAGTGAGAACTTTCTTTACGCGACTGTTCTGCCAAAGTGGCCTGACAGACAAATCGCTGACTTTGAGCTGAACTTCAGCCGCATGCTTTGTGATGGCAAGCTGTGACAAAAGTTATACATCCAGTGGTGGTTGTATTTAAAAGCATTTGTGAATGACATGCATATACATACTGAAGACAGCCTTTCCCTTCTTCCTTGTCTATTTTCATTTATATTTTGCCATGTGCCACTAATACTTAGTTGCAGCACAAATAATATAATATGACTTACAAATTGTTAAAAAATAAAGAGTATATACACAGACTTCATGCACACATTTATAACAGAAATTGGATCTTTTTGAAGTAAAATGCAATTCTAAAGTGTTATATACAGTAAAACATTTAAAAAAAACTCCAACAAAATCTCAGGTAATCTTTGAAATACATCTCTCTTCAATACTCAGCTGTAGATTCTAGGTTCTGCTCATTAAGATTTGACTGTAACTCCAGATTAACTGCACCCTACTTACTAGATCTACTAGAAGGGAGATGCTATCCTGAGTTAGGGGAAGCATATCATGGATTGCCTGTACACAATCTACTTCAAATGATATATCTGAAAAATGAGTAAAAATACCATAGGAAGAAGATGAATACCAAATTCTTGAACAAATGTGTAAAATGTAGTGAAAAAGCAACTAATGTTGTAGAAGAACAGATCAATTACATATATAAATAATTTATAAATGATGAAATTGTTATGATTATTTTTATCTAGTAATAGAAATTATCAGAAATACATATTTAAAAGGGTCATTTACTGAATGATGAAAAAGTGGTACCTGGTTTTGAAAACAGTTTTTAAATGAATGTATCCAATTTTTACCATTTATTTAGTAACCTCTCCTTAGAATAAGGCATCACATTTCATGTGAATAAGTTTAAATTCATTTTACTTAAAGATGCTTGATAATAAAATTAGTTGTGATAAGGGTGCTTTGAAATAAGTTTGATTGGTTCTGGCATAGAAGCAGAAAATATGAAAAGTCAGCCTTAATCAGAAAACCTCAACTTAGCCATGAGTGGTTGGCTCAGTTGAGCTAAAAAAGCAACAGTTCTTATTTTACCTGTTATTGCTCTCAAAGCATCATATGTTGGTATCAGCAATTCATCCTGATTCCAGTGGGGGTACACAACATAGGGGCTACTGAGGGATGCTCCTTTGGCCTGGAAATGGAAGCCAAGCAGTCGTAACAACTCCATGGCTTTAGAGCTCTGTATAACACAATCTGGTAAGCGTGTAGTCTGTCGATTGTTCTCTTCTGTATGTAATCTCTTCAAAGCACTATCCAGCTGAAGAAAATACAAAGAAAGTTTGCAATAAGCTTAATGACTAATGCTAACTTTGAGAATATTATATGCTTATTTCTAATTCACCATTGTGCATTACTCGTAAATAAGCATTTATACTCATAATTCCTGAAAAACCATAAAGTTTACAATTATCATATGATTAAAAACTTTGGAAATCTTACCAGATCAATAAGTTTTGGGATGACCTCGGGTTGCCCTTTATGATGGAGCAAAAGGAAGGCCAAACATTCCTGTAGAGTCTTGAGATTATCTTCTCTGGAAGAAACTGTAAAAAAGAAACTGCATATCTATTGATGACTGTATTGGAAGTTCAATATTCTAGAATTGTGATCTATAAATTGGAGAGGACATGATTTTTTTTAACTCTCTCTCTCTCTCTCTCTCTCTGAGAATTTTTACCCAGGGGCAGCACATTCTTTGGATTCAGTAACTCTTTCCCCTTTTCCTCCTCAAGCTCTTTCTCTGTCTTATTCAGAGCTTGGTCCAACATGGAATGCTGAATCTGGAGCAGGTTGACCTTGACATCTTTCCCAATTAGTATCCATGGTGACCAGAAAAATGGATCATTGAACCTGTTCAAATTGCAAGTTTAGCAGTAACAAACATTGTAACATGTAATGCTATATAATGTTCTTGTTCCAATATACCTACCATGTGAACTTTCTTTTGAAGAAATTTTCAACATGAAAACACAATACTAATTACTGTGACCTTATTTGTACCTAATAGGTCAGGTTGCAAATCACACTCTGATCCCTAACAAACTTTATTTGTGAATTTATAATGCTGTTTATTGAAAAAAAAATCTTGAACTGAACAAGAATTGGTATGCAGAAACAGTCAAGAAATGCACATCCAGACAGAGAAAAACAAATCTACATAGTGATTTCTACACCCATATTCTATGTACATGTACTACAAAGCAGGGAATAATTCAATCAAGTCTATTTTACTGGATCTAATATCATACCTCTCGTCTGCCCTGAGACCTTTAATGCCTGCACCAAGGGCATCAGTGACCAGTGCTCCTTTATTTAAGGTGGTATAGAAATGGTAGTAAAACTTTTCCATAGCGATGTTTGGCAGAGACCACATACTGACTAATACACATTGAGCACCTAGAAACAAAATATGAAAGCATAAATTCAAGTTCTCGCTCTGAAATACATGTGGATGATATAAATTCAAATTTTTCTTAGGAAAGAAAAGTTCATTTTTTTTTTTACATAAAGCATATGGGTTGCTTTTCACATTGAACAGAAGCAGTTTCCTTTAAAACCTGTCTTCTTTACATAAGTCTCCATTTACCTGCATTGAGGAATGCTGATGGCAAAGTAAACCCAGGAGGAATACACTCTTTGTATCTGTTAGGTCCATATCCAATATTGAGGACAACAATCTGGGCCTTCAGTTTTAACTGTATAATGTCCTCTAGTGACAGAAGATAGGAGGACTCCTGAGGAGGACCTTCATGTAACTTCACCTCTCCAGGAGTGAAAACAATGAATCCTTCCTTCCAACAACCATAAGATGCTGTGCAAAAATTTCATAGTGTTATAGTTATGTTTATATATATTCATCAAGTGTCATTTGTGATAGCCACTAGTGTCATTTAAAATTCACAGTATGAAAAGAAATAATGCTAGAAATACAGACCTAAGGGAATAAATGACATTTGGAATCTAGTACATTATAAAAAAAATTGGATTCTCCATGTTCATATTTCAAAATCAATGTTTTAACTTCAATTTCAAAATTACTTCAGCTATTATTTACCTATATGAATGACTGTAGCATTTTCTATGCTTGATATGAAATTCTCCTTGGTTGCATCTGGCCCTGTGATGGGATCTACATTGAGATAAGATGCAACAGCACTCAGTTCCCGTTTAGCTGCTGGTAGATATACATTTGCTGGCTTCCATTCACAGTCAAAAACAAGAAGTCTAAAAGAAATTCCCATTTTTTTAATGTTAAAAAATATTTCAAAATACAAGTTAGATGAGATGTTTTCAGTTTTCAAACAAAAACATTAATTTCTAGGATTTTCAATGACTTACTTTTCTGGAAGTCTTGGATTTCCAAATACAACACATTTATCTGTATCACAGATCTGTTGATATGATGTAATACACATGGTTGAGGAAGTGATGTCAGTTCCTGTCGATGTCCTTTTGGTCAAAATTGTATATGTATGGGCATTCAGCATTTTTTCCATGGGCAATGGGCTGCCAATTTGGGATTGATATTTATTAGAAGTGTTGTGAGTTACAATTCCTGGTAAAGGCTTTCTTGGAGAGAATGCACCTCTGGAAGATTCTTGAGAAGAAGGCATGGGAACTTTTGAGGTCATTTCACCTTTGTTGCTTCCTGCTGAAGCAGGCATGCCCAACATTGTAGTCAAAAGTCTAGGATTAGCTGTTTTCCGTAAGTCATATGAATCATGTGTGTCTTCCTTTTCCATGTCAGGACTGATTGCATTGGTCATTACCATCTGAGCCAGAACTCTGTTCATTCCACCATTTCTTGTTTGGCTTCTTTCAAAGTCAAGGTCATCTTGTGCTTTCATGTAGTTCATTTCATTGTTAATGACCTTCTCCAGAGCAAATAGACTGGGCAATAAAGTCAAATGAAATCTGTCACACAAGTATCTAGCATTCCAGTCTTGAAGGATGCCAAATGGACAGTCATACAAGTTCTTGTCTGGAATAATTATAAGGTGGCTCTTTTGAGGGAGTTTCATAAGAATGTCTTCTACAGGGGCTAAGAGGAGGTTAAACAATATTTTGTTTGGGCTTCCCTCCTCTGACAAGTCTTTGTTTGTTTTGTCTTGTATTACATCTTTTCCAAGGGCTAAGTTCTTTCTTCTAGTGTACTGTAGTTGAGCATTTCTGATTGGCAAGCAGCGGTCTTCACAAGAGTTCTGCATGGTTTTCCAGTCGGGTGTGTTTTTAAGACCATCCAAACAAATCTGAATCTGAAATGGGATGTAAAATGGAAATCATCTACGAAACTGACAAAGTGGTTCAGGGGCCCATAGTATGCTCATATGAATATAAACCTTGAAGTTTAAATCTTAACCTTTGAGCAATTGGCAACATAATTTATATATGTTTTAATTATGTACTGAATGTAAAGTCTGCATGTTAAAATACAGTCAAACCTTGTTATCTTGAACACAATGGGACTAAGAAAAAACTTTGAGATATCCAGGGTAAAATACTTAAAGAATAAAGAGTTAGGACTTCCAAATCACTTCAACATTTTAGGAATGACTCTAATTCTTGGCCAAATTATTTGAGTATAACCTGGTTTGGGTCAGTTTACGCTTTATAATCCGCGAAGCGGATTATAAAACAGCGTAAACTGACCCAAACCAGGTTATACTCGAATAATTTGGCCAAGAATTAGAGTCATTCCTTATAATTTAATTTTAAAATCATTAAATAAATAAGGGTGTAGAATTTCGTTGCTTTTTATTAGTTCAAATTTGCCGCTCAATAATACAACCGTAGTAACGGAAGTGATGGGAAGCGAGGGGAGGTAAAAATTGATGCATAGGCCTAGCTGCAGCCTTGTTGTTTGTTTACATGTGGTAAGATCGAATTATTGTTAAGTTAAAGGTACAATTATTAAATCTGGAATTTTCCATGAATCCCGAGGACTGGAAATGAGAGGATTGTATGGATACAGATGATTCAGCTGGTTGTCAGAGGGGTGTGTCCCCATACCAAACCAGGTTATACAGAAATAATTTGTGTTCCTTTTTGGATATTATCCAATCAGAGGCTAGAATAAAAACGAAATTAAATTATTAAATATTCAGGTGAAGCAATGCAGTAAATCTGGGAATTTTTAAAATAAAAAAGAACATTTTGGCTACATAGGTGAACAATGGTAGGAATTCATTATAGATTTTGAGATTATTCATAAAAGGTCAAGTTTAATACAGTTGAACTTGGGTATTTTGAACACTAGCTGATATGTTGAATACCATGGATATCATAATATAATTTAATTTTGTATGTATTCTAGCCTCTGATTGGTTAATATCCAAAAAGGAACACAAATTATTTTTGTATAACCTGGTTTGGTATGGGGACACACCCCCCTGACAACCAGCTGAATCATCTGTATCCATACAATCCTCTCATTTCCAGTCCTCGGGATTCATGGAAAATTCCAGATTTAATAAATGTACCTTTAACTTCAAACAATAATTCGAACTTACCACATGTAAACAAGCTGCTAGGCCTATGTATCAGTTTTTACCTCCCCTCGCTTCCCATCACTTCCGTTACTTCCGTTACTACGGTTGTATTATTGAGCGGCAAATTTGAACTAATAAAAAGCAACGAAATTTTACACCCATAGTTATTTAATGATTTTAAAATTAAATTATAAGGAATGACTCTAATTCTTGGCCAAATTATTCGAGTATAACCTGGTTTGGGTCAGTTTACGCTGTTTTATAATCCGCTTCGCGGATTATAAAGCGTAAACTGACCCAAACCAGATTATACTCGAATAATTTGGCCAAGAATTAGAGTCATTCCTAAAATAATCAAATGAATAGTCTTGACTCTTTGGCCTTGACCTTTATTCAAGAGATGCTTTCTTTTAACCAAGTGAAAAAGTGTAGTGAAAATAAATTTTTTTAAATTCAAAGGATTTTCAAAGTTATTGTATGTCAATGGTAATTTAAAAATTACTAGCATTTGAACTTGACTATTGATTTTAATCTACATAAGTGTTTTCAGAGCATTTTCCAGTAAGTATATATGTAATGTAAATTCTACAGGTCATAAAATGCAATGTATAATGTTTCAAGTCTAGCATTCGATCTTGACCATTGCAGATTAAGTGTCTCTAATCTATAAGACTTTTTCCAAAGCAATTTCAGTAGAGTAAATAAAAATTCTAAAGGATATATATTGTTTCAAGTCATTGCATCACAATTGTTATAGATACAAATGTATTTTCTGCTTTGACCTTTAACAAAGTTAGTGACCCCAAAATCTACTGATAACTTCGTCTAATCATTCTTCATCTTTTAAAAAACGCTCAAGCCATTGCATCAAAATTTTAATTTTTGACCAATAAATCCCCAGAGCAATAGATGTCTCTCATCATCCTACTATGTAGTAAGCATAAGTCTATAGAATAAAAAATATGCAAGTTGTCACATCACAGAAATATGCAATAAAATGGTGAACTTGTTTGACTTTGGACCTTGACCTTTAACCAAGTATCCCCAAAACTACAGGCATCTTTAACCCTCCACATCTGTAGTAAACATGAAGTTTGTAGGTGAAAAGGTACTCAAGTTATTACATCACATGAAAGTATTGGCAGATAGACAGCCAAACAGGCAGATCCAGTGATTACTGTAGGGCAACTGCATGCCCTAATCAAATCTAAAAATCATAAGTCAGTATATACAGTTAAACTTCGTTATAATGATTTAAGTCACAGGGACCTATGAAATAACTTGGTCATATCCATAATTTCTTATATCCGTATAAGGGTTTCATAAAATTTCTATAGCTGGGGGTCAAAGAAAACTTCGCTATATCTGTGGTTTATGCTAAATGAGTTTTACAGTATCAAGCAATTCCCAATTCAACAGACTGTACCAAAACTGATTTTGAAAAGGTGCTATATAATATTGTAAGATTCAATTGCTGTATCTCAGTTCAAATCAAATTTTGACCTATGAATTTTTTGCCTGACATTTAATCCAGACATAATAAATTTAATTCATAAAGTACTCATTTTATTACCCTATCCTGCATATCTTCCACATCTGCTGATTTTCCAGAGTAGAACCGCACCAGTCCACTACCCGGTACAAACACCCAACTCAGAACCCGGTGGCTAAGAACCGAATAGTAAACCACAGCTGCATTCTGTTCATTAACCAATCGAGACATCCGATCCACTGCCCAGAAATCAGTTTGTGGCCCATAGTTTATGTATGACACAGGATGTCCCTTAATCTGAGTAATATAGCGTTTCCTGTATGCTTCAGCATACTGTAAACATTCTTCTTTGTTTCCCATTTTGCACAAGACATTTTGAATTCCATCGTAGGATTCTTGTAGCTGAGTATGATATTCTGATGGACAGTATGTATCTTCATCTCTGTGCTCCCGAATTTTCGTTTCAAATAAAGGAATTAGTTTTTCAAAATATTTTCTAGCTTCCTCGATCTCCATCATTTGTTTTGAGTGTCTTTTGATGCATGCTAGGTTGTAATGACACATGGTTAAAATGTCAACATAATCAAAATCTTCTGCCAGATTGGAAGCTTGTTCATAAAATCCAATGGCATACTGAGTCTTTTTCATATCTCTGTAAGCATTGCCAAGTTTACAGAAAGCCATAGATTTAGCTCTATAGTCTGTTCTTATGCATGAATTTAACATCTGATTGTAATTTTCCACTGCTTTGTCAAAGTCTTCCTTAACCATGTATGTGTCTGCCATCATTTCATAGGCAATAACTAACATTTTGGGATCATTGAATCTTTTAGCCATTGCAATATGCTGTTCATGGTAGGTAATTGCTAGTTTCCAATTTCTGATTGCAGCATATACACTTCCTAAACAACCATATGCCTGGGCCATGCCTTTTTTGTCACCATTCTTTTTGCAGACTCTGAGGTACAAAGAATAATTTTTTAAAGCTTCGTTAAAATTTCCCAGAATTTCATTTAACATTCCAGTGTTGTGATAAGACTCTGACTGTGCACGTCCTTCGATACCAAATTTCTCCAATAGTTTCACATATTTTCGAGCATGTTTTTCAGCATATGCCATATTTCCAATGGATTTGTATGCAATACTTAAATTTAAATGAAGACCACATTGCAACTCTTTGGTCCAAAAATCAGGAAAATTTTCTTCAGACCCAGCCTCTTCTCTGATCTCTGCCTCTAAATCTAACAATTTCTCATAATATACAATGGCCTGATGTGTATCTTTAATTTCCAAATATAATGTAGCAATGTTAACCAATGATTTTGTCTGGTATATCTGCTCATGGGTGGCCATTGCTGTGCTGAGACATTCTTGGTACAAGTTAATTGCTTGCTCATTCTTTCTTAAGGCCGAGAAGGAATTTGCCATGGTTAGAAGCACTCTCATTGTTATTCCTTTCTGGTTTGTCTCAAACTTCTGAGCTGCCTCTAGAATCTTGATAGTTAGCTCATATTTCTTACTTTGGAATAAACAGACTCCAACTTCACTTAGTTTCTTGTAGGGGTCCATTCCTAAAAAAAAAATAATTACATGATGCAATTATAAACAGGTGACAACATCTAAAAAATCAATCAAATCAATATGGTAAAAAAATGTGCATATTGTTCTAAAACATGATACATTCTTTAAAAATCAGCAATTATAAACAGATGGCAATCCAAATGATATGGATAAAAATTTATGCTTTTCTGAAATGTGTACAATATGAATGGAATTACATTTAATGATTAAAGTCAGCTTATTTGAATGCACTGTTAACATTAAAAACCATTAATACCTGATAACTCTTTACATTCAATAAAACCAGCTTCTGTGTACCTTTGATCTTTCTGAGGACATCTGGGGGTATTTCACAGAAGAATGTGGACACAGTAGCTATACTAGTGGTCAGTTCATCAGCACTCTGAGGGTCCAGATCCAGAGCCGTCAGAAAGGCATTCAAGGCTTCCCCAGGTCTGTCCAGTTCATGTAGAGTAATTCCTAGGAATCTGAAGGCCTGTCATACACAAGACATGAATAATACTAGTGTTTAAAATATTATATTCATATTCAATTGGATCAAGTTTGAATTGAGGTGGTTCAAAAGGTCTCAAGAGCTTTTATCAGTATTTCAATGGTGAAATCTTATTTTCAGAAGATACTTTATACATCCTTTAAATAAAATTTTGTTGTGTTGAGCCACCTTAGAGTAAATTACAATTTGACTTAATTTATTAAGCCTAAGAGTGGGTACTAGGAGCTGCAAATCTGTAGCTCACTGGTCTTAAAATATGTCCATCCATCCCAATTTCTTCAGACTATTGAGCTACAGCATTGAAGCTAGGGTATTTATAATTGTAAGATGTTTGCATAGTACTATATACATGTTTACTATATTTCATATCCTTTCACCTTTGCACTGTCTGAATCCAGTGAAATCCAATATTCTGCATCTTTGTGTGCCCTTTTGTAGTCTTTCATTTCAATAAAAGCAAGTATTCTAGCATTTAAAACCTCGACATTTTTATCATCAATCTCTAAGGCTTCATCATAGTGCTTGATAGCTTCATTAAAGTCACGGATCTGCATTGCTTTGTTTCCCATTTCAGTTAGTGATTTCATCTGAAATTGTAAAAAGAAAATTTAATCATAGGAAAATCATTAATTTTCAAATGACTGGGTTATTTTTCATTCATAATTTACATAATCATCAAGTAACGTGACTCTCAAAACCATGAAAATATTTCTGAATATTATACATTTTATATTATTTAAAAGTTCAGTTGATCTGAAATGAAAATAAAATTTGCACAATAAAGATATATTTCCAGAAATTTCAAAGGCTGTTTTTGGCTTGGATATATGTACATTTAAAAGTGTATTTTAAATGAGAAATAATTTAATGCTTATTAAACTCCTGTCAAGGGAGATAATTTTCATGGGCTAAAATTTCTTTGATGAAAAGTTCACTAGTGATCAGTAACTAACCTCATTTATCTCCTCAGCTTCCGAGATTGGCTCACTGCTCCCTTCAGCAAGACTCGCCATACTGAAGCTATGGCTGAGTCCCTGGGAGGAAAAATGAGATGGTCTCTCTGTCATTTTTATGGATCTCCTTTAGATGGTGTCAACTTTGATTTACATTGTTGCTGAAACTTGTCTTCACAATCTGTATAACTGAAATAAGAGAATTCATTAAAACTTAACTCTAATCATGATGATTTTAAAATCAATTTAATAAATTTAATGGCTAAATGCAAGAAATTATCATATATATTGCTAGTATTGCATGGATACACCAATGTCACCATACTGGACATTTAATCAATTCTTAAAATAGGAGAAAACATTGCTGTGTCTCCTTTATGAATTTATGACCAATATGCAACTTTTGTAACCTTCTCTTCAACACTTTATTATGGCAAGTTTTGAGATTATCTCCCTTGGTGCACACCTTAGTTACAGAGGGGAGTTTTGTTTCCAGGGGGTGGAACGATTACTTACATTGGATACACTACTTCATAGATGCCAGTTGTCAGGATGTACTCACCAACTCAAAAAATAATCAAATTAAAGTAAATATATATACCGTCATCTCAAAGGTGTCAAATTCTTCAACAAAAATCGTAACAAAAAATTTGTGGATTAGACTGATCAGACAAGAGAAGACATGTGTCCCTAATAATTTATACACGGGCATCTAATTGTCATGATAGTTGCACCTCAACAGTCAAAGCGATACACAAACTCTGTTCCCATACATAAAATTTTCAAAGAGTCCTCAAACTTCTAAGAAAGGGTATGTACAATCATGGAAGTTTCTTTTTTTCACTAGGTGACCGGATAAAAAACAAACAGTTCTTTTGCTTTCAAGTATCAAAATTGTAAGTAGATTTTGTAAACTTGTAAAGTAAAACTCAAAAATTGCTTACATTGACATGTCCCACTTTCATACTGAGATTGATACTGTTTGCACCTCTATCATTGGAGAGCTACAATCTCAAAACTTGCACATTCAATGCTGCTATGTTTACATGTAGATGTAAAAAAAAGTACACAGCTAGTACACTTGCTGAGAATATGCTTAATATTCTACATACCAGTCTTCTCCAAATCTTTTTTTCAGTACATGCCCTTCGGGCAGGTTTAACCACTTATTACGATAGCCCGAACAAATATTTACATGCCCAGAATTTTATCAAGTAATTTTATTCTTAATTGCCTTTTCATGCCAAGGAAATGATCCGAAATCCATTTCTATCGCTCTGTTGTCTCGCCATTAATATTGTTTTCAACATGTATACTTTTTGTGTCTCCTTTGCAAAAGAGTTCTTTGGAAAACTATCGTTAAAATTTTATTTGGTACTCCATTTTAGATGAAAAATCAGACTTTTAAGTACATTTAATGTTTGTAAGTGTGCAGTTTCCACATGCCCACTTCCAATTTCACCAGGTCCCGGGCTTCGGATTCCCGGGATTTGTCGAAGACTGACATACTGTCAGTAGCAAATGAAAGATATATATAAGGACTTAGTTTTAGTTTGGGCATCGTTTTTAAAAACTATTAGTTTGTTTATTTCTAATAAAAATGCAGGGGAAAATGCTCTTAAATGTCTCCAGTCCTTCAGAGCACTGACAATGTTCTGACACTTTTCACAGGTTCTTATAGTTTTGGGGTTATATAACCAGCATATAATTTGGGACCAAATACTTATTTCTTTAATAAAATTATAAGAGAAACACCCATTCTGGTGAATATGGTACAGTTCTTGATCCAATCCTTAATGCAAATTTGAGCTCCCACTAATTTGCGACTGTAAGTGTTAATGTATTTTTTAAGCGTTTAATTGTGATAAAGGATGCATTTAAAAGCTTAATTATGAGACTGTGTCTGGTGTGACATTTTGCACAAAAGATTTTATTTTCAAAATGAAAGCAAAACAGTCAAGTTGGGAAAGGGGGATTTAGTGTCACGACCCCCCCCCCCTTTCCTATTCTGCTAGTCTGCTTTATGCAGTCTTGGTAATAATTGACAGGTACATTCATGTATCTGATATAAAATTTGTATGCAAACCTCAATGCATTACCAAGTTTTCAAACAATACATACGGTACGATAATCTGTGAGGGCCAAGAAGCCTACCATCCAACTTCCAAAGTGCGCGAAGGCAAAACCGGAAGAAGTGGTAACTAATCACAACAAAAATTTGCTAACTCGTACTATAATCTATTATGATTATTAAAAAAATCAATATTTACTAAATAGCCGATGTTTACACATAAATATTTAATTAAGTTTAAAATCTGATAAATATTTTACCATAAAAATTTGCTTTAATCATCATATAATCCTTATCTTAAAAGAAAGCACAAAGCCTGTTAAAATAGAGTATTGTCGGTATGTATTAACTAGCACCTGTTAGCCGAAATCTGACGTTATCTTTATAATCTTACTCGACGGTGACTTACACTCAGTTACAGAGCAGCTAAGGTTCCTTAACTTCTTGCGAATAACAAAAACTTAAGTAGGTTCAAAGTACTTTCAATAAAATACTCTTTTGATGAACTGTTGCATTAACATAAAAACATAAAGAGCGCATAGACAACATATTTTAAGGACCTTCAAAATCAACCAATAAAAAAAAACTGAACAGAGCTGCATTGGAATCTTCCTTACTGATCTTAGCTCTGATTGTTAATTGTATGTTTATTTATCCATGAACCTGTTCTGTTCACACTTTGAAAGCATTGTTTACTTCTTATTACAACACAGCAAATTTTAATCAATAACATGAAATTTCCAGTAGTTCAATATTCTCTAGCTTTTTATTGTTTCCTTTATATCGATCTTTGATCAAATTTACCAAACATTAAAGCAAATTCTTTATTTAAACACCCATTATTCATGAAATTTTTGCTTATTCTTAATTGTTGAAATTCAATAATTGATCAATACATTGTTTAACAGTGTTTGAACTTCTTCATGCTTACTATGAATTTTTCAACAGAAAAATCTTTGTACACCATCTTTTTATTATTCTGACTTTAGAATGCATTAATTAAATTATCTCTGCGTGACTAAGATCCTTGTTCAGCTGTACATTTTATTCTTTCAGAATGGAAGAGGAGGAGCCAATGGATATTTCAGGGGAAGAGAGAGACTTCTTCAGTGCAAAAATTCTGCCAAGCAGATTTACTGAAAACTCATCAGGCAAGTGGAATTTGAATGCCACTGTATGTTCCTCTTCACCAACCAGAAGTGAGACCAGGCATTTTGGAAGATCGACTTCTATTGATGAAGTAAGAAACAGAGTAAGCAAAAATATGTTTACTGAATTTAAAAGAACAGTTAGTGAGGACCTAAGTGGAAAAAATTCTATTAGAAGTTTAACATCTAAGAAACGACACAGCTTGAGTGGACCAATACCAAAAAAACCCAGACTTGTTGGACCTGGAAATCCTGAATATAAACCAGATATAGAGAAACATAAGGAAAAACCTTCGTTATTCAGAAACACAAAAGGAAAATTCATCCTCTGGGCTATTTTGATAGCACTCTGTTTTGTTGGAAAACTTTATCTATCACAAACTGTATGTGAGTTATTTGTGGACATTCCAAACCTGGAAAGAAATTTTGACAGTTTTCTGTTTGGGCAGCACATAGCAAGGAATGTCTCTATATCCACATTTTCACAGTACTGGGAGCAATCTTTGAAGACAAACCATTCTCATTTGAAACCTGTTGTCTTCTCTTTCCATGGTTGGACAGGTGTAGGGAAAAATTTTGTTATGAAAATAATTTTGAACTCATTACATATGCGCCATACAAAAATGTTTTTAGTTCCTATGCATTTTCCTTCATCCACCATTCCATCTTATGCAAAAGACATTATAAAATCAGTAAGAAAACATATCAGGGACTGTCGATTCAATGTCTTTATTTTCGATGAAATGGATAAAGCTCCTCCATCGTTGATAAAAGGACTAAGATCAGTGTTAATTTCACTGAAAAAGAAAGAATTTGACAAATTATGGATAGTGTTCATTTTCCTCAGCAATTCCAAAGGAACAGAAATTAACAAATTCCTTTTCTCTGAAATAGCAGCAGGAAGAAGAAGAGATGATTTGACCTACGAAGAAATTATTTCTCTTCTGCATCAAAATTCAGAAAAAGAGTGGTACCATGAACTACACAAGGAAAACCTAATTGATATTTATGTGCCATTTTTACCACTAAACAAAACTCATGTTGAGCAGTGCATCAAGCAAGACCTACGCCAGAAAAAGACAGTGCCATCAAATGATTTAGTGCAGAAAATTGTCAAAGAGTTGAGTTTTTTCCATCCAGCAGGAAGCCCCGTGGAGTACTCTCTGACTGGGTGTAAAAGGGTTCATGATAAAGTTGATTTGCATATAACATCAGTTGATTAACCATTTTTATGATTTTTTTCATTTAATTTGTGTAAAAAAGAACAAGAGGTGCATTATGTATTTTATTATTTGTACATTCAAAGATGGTATTATAATGATATATAATCTATTTGACAGCTGAAAAAATGCATACTATTTACGCAATGTTTTTGAGTTAATTGAATAAAAATAATTAAACATTCATGTTAAAAGTATTTCTTTGCAAATAATTTATACCATATTTAATTAAATTGCCTTTCAATAACATTTAAGAGGAAGGCCAAGTCTTTCCTTAAAGCTTCAATTTCTTTGCTCTGAAAATATAGGGAAAAAGCAGTCCTTATTTTGAATTTTTCATTATACATTTACCTATATATTGCAAATTAAAAGTAACATGAATTTAAATAAAAATAGTAAAATTTCTATTCCGGTTTAAAAGGACATTATTTTTACCTGTTTAGATACTTCTAACTCTAGAGATGCTAATCTGTTCCTCATGGATTCTTCAGAATTCTAAAGGAAGGAAACCAAAGGGAGAAAACTATATATAGTTGACCAAAAACTCAAAATTATTAATAAGATATTTTAAAGTTCAAACACTATCTCACACTTTCATCCCTTTAAAATTAGAAAGCAAACCTCGTTTCTTTTAACTTTCTTTTGTAGAAGCCTGGAAAAAAATGTTGATTACTTTTAAAAATGTGTTTTGGCAATTTTTTTGATAATCTGCCTCTTCATTTTCTTTATAACACTTTGGGGAACTTTATGTTTTCAATATGTAAAGAGAACAAAACAAACTAACTTATGTCAAAATGAGCAAGTTATTGGTGTTTGCTGGAGATTTGTTTTAATTAAGTGTCTTTCTGTGAAACCCTTGAACTCTATGGAAAATTAATTTAAAAATGCTTGGGCATGTACAGCATGTTGTTAAATAGGTTTTATTGGAAACTTTATGGCAGTTGTCTAATAAGTCACAAATTGTCTGATTTTAATTAAAATCAGTGAACTGATAACGAGTAAAACACCTATAGTATCAATACCACAAAGTATACATACATATTTTATTCTTTAAGATTTCTGGTTGTATACATAAAATTTCTGGATGTTTATATAAAATTTCTGGTTGTATACATACAGTGTATATATATATAATGCTGCATCTTACAAATCTTACCGTTTTCGATATATTTCTTTCACTTTTCTTTCAAATTGTTGTAGTTTCTTTTGGAAACCGTCTTGTTTTCGATATTTGTCATACGGATCACCAGATGTCAAATAAACTGAGAAAAAATGAAACTATTTTATATTAATGCACTTAGATGAAAGTTTTAAATAGACCTAAGCTGTCTTTCGAATGTATTGTTCAGGTACATAACATGTACATTTAAAAAAAATCTTCTATTACTTTTTTACAAAGTACAAACGAATTAAAATTAATGCAACATTTTGTTCATGTTATCAAGGCAAACAAGTTACCAGTTTTGAGAAGTAATAGACCCTTTACAAAATCTTCATTTTTGGAGTTTACACTTTCACCAATATCATCTGATTTTCTACATTTACACTTGAGAATCCATCCGATACAGTACACAATCGTATGGGGTATACACAACACAAGGAAAGGGGGAGGGAGGAGGGGCTTGGATTCGTATTCACTTATAAGTTCGTTGTAATTGTAGATCCAATGCATGTAACTGACATCCTGGACTTTCCTGTATGTGTCACTGTAAATAAAAGATGAAGAACTACGATATTTTTTAAATAGATTCTTTTTTTTTTTTTAAAAATTTACATTGTTATACATTACGCAGAGATGTGAATTCGGACATGATCACATTTGCTCATGGATACAAATACCTGGTATGACTGGTTTTGGACTTAATGTATTTAGAAAATGCTTGTTTTTCTAAGTAATTTTACATTCAAATCATTATTAACATTTGATTACGTCACTAATTATTGAAAAAGAATTCATTTTATGGAGAAATACAAAATATTGAGTATTTTCCAAAATGGATATTATTCAAAATAACAGCTTTATTCATAATCATTAAAGTAAAAAAGAAATTTACCTACATGTATTAAATATAATACAAGATGGAACATATTTTCACCTAAATATCGCAATTTTTCCTTCCACATCTCTCTGTTACCATATCCGTTGAAGTAACATATGTAAGCTATTTCTAAAATTCATCACAATTGACAGAGCAGATTTAAATACTAAAACTGCTGTTCGTACTTTATTTGCAGGATGACTTACTTGAACATGGCGATAAGAACATTGAGTAATAGCACCACACTGAGGAGAGCGAAGAACCCCCGTATGTATGGCACCACGGCCATGCCTAGAGCAGAGGGACAGGGGGATGTCGAGCTGTCACACTGAGAACTGTCAACTTCAAAAAGAAAGTCAGAATTTAATAAGAACTTAAACATATTGAAATAAAATATTTTAGAAAAATGCATAATTATATTTCCCTTTATTGCTATCATATGTACAATTCAAGCTGGAATTGTACATACACTTAAAAATGCGCATTACCATGATTACAATTCTGTGCAAGTACATGTATGTGAAAATACTTGCATTCCTCTAAATTGTTCTCGCCGTAGAGTATCCAATATCCACTCATTAGTATTCTTTCTACCAGAATGTAGCTAAAGGTAGAGTCGTGATATAGTAAGCTGTAATCAGCAATGGAGAAGCCAAGAATGAATACGAACAAGATCACCATAAACGGTATCAAGTCATCAACGAACTGAAATGAACCAAGTAGTATTTGTGAGCAAAATAACTCAGAATTATTTTGTGATAAAATAACGAGCCATGGTACAGAAAAGCTTTAATGTTTAACATTCCTTTCATAAGAAACAAAATATTTTTATGTCTTTGCAACAGATGTTAACTGCAACATCATCAACACTGTTATACCATTTTCCCAATCATGACTAGTTTAGGTCCAAGATTTCTTGACACAGCTGTTAGAGCGAGCACCCTTAGCGTGAATAAAGTGACATCAATTGCAAGCGCAACTCTCGATATATCAAGTATTCCAATTGACTTCAGGACAATTCCAACCGCAAAACACACAATGCAACAAATATCATTAAGGTTCCACCATCTAAAATGACTCCGAAGGTATGTAGCATATTTAATCCCTGCAGACGGTATCATCTAAAAGTTAATGAAAGCAGAAATTGTTTGTTTTTTCCAACAAATAAATACAAGAGATCCTGAATATATTTATTAAACATGAAAAAGATGTTTAAAATGGTTCATATTGTTAGCATTTCATTTAGTACTTGTCTGATTTCTTCTGTCGTGTAACACACAATGTAGAGAATAAGGCCATAGTCTACTCCACTCAGTCCTGAGGAGAAGTCCACCAACAGTTCATAGGAGAGAAGCAGGATAAAAATAATGTAAGGTATCTATATTATTGAGAAAAAATATTTTAAAAAAATCAAAGTATTTAGATGAATGGTTTAATAATCACAATTTCTTCGTATTAAAAATTCATGCATCACTAAGACGTTTTTAAGAGGATATCATTTCATTATTTAATCAAAGAATGTTTTTGAAGTCAAATAAATGCTAACACTTTGACAGTGAATATTTAAAAGTTTACACATGTACTCACGTAGAGAAATATACATTTTATAACAGGTACGTTAAAATCGCTGACAACCCTGGTTACAAAGTTAATGTTCACCACCCTATTAAGCAAAGGAATACATCTTTTTCTATCAATCATAAATTATGGATAAAAAGAACTAAATATAACTAGCATACCAGAAAAATACCTACAGAGCAACAGGAAGTGCAAACGGGAAAATGGCTAAAATAAGCAGTGGTAGAAACAGTTTCTAAAATAAAAATCAATATGTTAATTTTAAATACGTTTCTTTTAATCACTATTTTAAACTGAGGAATGATTTCAAGATATGATTGAAAATTTCTCTTCTTATTTACCAGTAAATGTAACTTTTGAGACGCAAACTTCCCTATCCACTTTCTCTGAAGCACGTCTCTGACAGACCGATGTCTGAAGAACTCAGTCTTGTGGAGTTTGTATGCCACTGACAGGTAATCATCTGGTTTCATTAAAAGCAGTAATTCTGTATACAACTTTGGATCATTTGTTCCGTCTTCTGATTCTGGCATTGAGATATTGGCACGGTCATCCATGGCATTGTTATGGTCTTTCCCTGGGTTAACTTGGTATTGGTAGCATTCATTTAAAAGATTGGTAGCGTGGCTGATAAATTTTCTGAAGTTAATACAAAGCAAATATTAAATATTTCCTTAAAACATATATTGCTCTATTTTGTTAAAATGATGATGAAAATGTTATTTAATGTTTAACCATATGCAATATGAAATACTTTCATTAGGAATGGACAGCAGGTAAACGTACTGTATTTGAACGAATTAATATGCATTCATACATTTTTTAGGTAGATCCTGTGAGTGTTACAATTATGTATCAATTGGGGCTAATTGTAAAGCCAAACTGGAAAAAAATGAGTCAGAAGAAAATTAAGGTAGACCCTTACTCTGAAGTCACTTGCAGTTTTTCCAAAGTCTTTGATCCATAAACAATGTGTTTTAAACAATCGAGAAGAACACCAGCCACGAAACATTCTTGTATCGTCATCTGAAGTAAAGGTAAAATTACTCTTATGGATAAAGTCTGTAATCAGAAATGAATGTCGTTGTAGAATCGACTTCTTTGCTTTTGTACCTGTTTTGATTTCACCCAAAATGATTTGGCCACGTTTGTTTGTTCTGAAACAAGAAACCACACAAAAATATCCAGGTGTTTCGGTTGACAAAGGTCCAATTCTTTTTCCGTGTTTCCATGCTCCATGTGATTTACACTTGTCAGAACTTCTCCTGCATCATTCTGCAGTTTAGAGGTGGCTAATAAATAAAACATAGTGCATCGGTTGTTATGCTCACAAAGTAATAGCATAAAAATTTTTTGCTACCAAATTGTATATAAATATTAAAGACGTCAGAGTTATGAATCTCTGAAATATACTCACGAAGTTCAATAAGTTTAAAAACATCGAAGTGATTTCTCTGTAAAAGTTCCTTAAACACGACATTTAAACCATAAAATGATAGATTCTGAAAAAGAAAAGTTCAAATGTTATAAAAACAAGTATAAAAGTAAGATTATGAATTCAGTTCATCAAAATTGTAAAAATGTAGTGAATAAGATAAAATAAATAATGTTTACCTTTGAGTTTAACGAAGATTTGATTTGAGCCTCATCTGGAAGCTATAAGGTAAAAATTTGACCAAGTGTAAAAGAAATTTATTTAAGAAATTTGGAAAAATTCTCACAGGAAGTTAGATAAGTATTATAAACGTTTTGATACTCCCTCATAATCTATACGTTTAACTTTGAATAGTTTTACCCTGCTGTAGAGATATAATAAATCATTCCATGTTAATTGTTCGAGGAGTTTTTCTCCGAGATTTTCTTTTTGATGTTCATAATCACACAGGAGGTCGCAAAACAGCTCACGGCCCTTTTCTATTATCCTACAGCTCAGAACACGGGATGAAACCTACAGGAAAAAATATTGAATAAATGTTAAGTGATCGACATGCAATTTTAATTTTTAATGGCTAGAAAATATTTCATTCATTGGGATTTATCAAAATATTGAAACACTGCTTCTTAACATGAAATTAATTTTGCAAGTTTATGTGCTTACAATAAAAAAATCCTGTTCCATTAAACGAGATAAAACTTATCAAACTAACAAAAGAAAAAGAACTCCAAAAGTTATTTCAATACATGTATTTACTTACGTACCATTTTATCCATATCAGACCCTGAAAATAAAATTTGATTTTATATCATGGTGTATAAATGGCTATACGTACATGCTGTGTTATCATTGATAATTATACGTTACCAAGAAAAGCAGCTCGTGTGATGTGAACTCCTAGAAAATCCAAATTCTGACATATTTGACAAAGGTCACTTTGTGACTTCATATTGTCAACCAAGTCAGAGAGAATAGATGTGGCTTCCAGTAAGTCATTCTCCAATGTGAAGATAGATCGTAAGAGTGGTTTATCGGGTAATATTCTTTCTTTTGATTTAATTATTGCTCCTGCACCCTCGAGTCGTTCATATATCACTGAAAGAATGTCTGCAATACCACCACTTCCCTATAATAAAAGAAAATTCAGGCAATGACTTTCATTAAATACAGAAAAGGAAAGAACTTGAGCATTATTTATTTCTTTAACATATTTAGACGTATACATATATCACAATTTCCATTGACCTCCAGAAATAATCTCAAACAGTCCTATATCTATTTTTTTCCTCACATTTTACAATTTACCTTTATGACTACAAACGGAATCTTTTTGTGGTATGCTATTTTGATTTGCTCCAGGGTAGGCAATCCTCCACCGTATACAACCATAACAAGGGGAATGGTCTCATCCTTTGATGTACGAGGGTCTATCATACATGTAAAAGAATTTTTAAAAATCTTTCTTTAAAACAATGTTTGCATTTTTAAAAATATATTTTACTGATGTCTTTTTTATTGATTGGTTCACTAAACAGAAAACGATGTTCATTGCCATATATCGTTAATTATGATCATTTTGACAATATTAACAGAGAGTTTCGAGATAGATATGTGTAAATATAAATGAATGCACTAAGGTCCCCCAGAACCAAACCTTACCTTTCTGTAGTAGAATTTGGATGGCTGTGATATCTAATGATGCCCCGTCTCGAATCGCCATTAAGTGACCGACACCAGTATCAAGTACATTTTCTTTCATTACCAGTTCCTGTATAAATGAATCGCCAAGTCTGAATAGAAACTCCGAAATCCAAAAACGGAATAATAATGAAATAACAATTAATTACCTTTCCTGGTTTGAAAATGTCGACTGCATGAAAAACTCCAACTGTAGTAACGTTGAGTTTCTTTCTTGAAAACTTCTCAGCGTCTCTAATAAATCCTAGAGTCTTGCCAACTAATGTGGTTAAAATGCTACTCTGACTATTGGTGATTACTAAAGCATCTTAAAAAATACGAAAAAGAATTTGAAATGGAAGTTCTTTAAGTATAGTGGTATGATCGTGTAACATATGTTTTGATAAAGGTGAAAATAACGAACAGTGATTGATGAAAATAATCCACAAACAATACAAATATGTGAACAAGGCATAAAACACGGACTCCCGGAAAATCAAGAGGTTGGATCAGGTGCCTAGGAGGAGTAAGCATCCCCTGTCGACCGGTCACTCCCGTCGTGATCCCTAAGTATTGATCAGGTAGAGGGAATATTCCACAGTCAAATTTAGTATAAAACAAAGGTTATTAAACAATTTGTATGAAAATTGTCAGCCAATGATAGGTTATATTATAGGTAATTTAGATAGTACCAAGGTGGCCCTTATATGTAGGTCAAGTACTTGGCAAAAAAGTACATTTTAACATTTTATATACCTGTAGAAGCAAATATCTTTTGGACACTTTCACTGAATTTCAGAAGTAATTCTTGATTATACACTTTTTCGTATGTACGGGAATCGTCTGGCATTGAAATGATGACACCATGCCGAGATGCAAAGGAATCTTTATCACCGTAAATATTGTCAAGAAAACTTTTTCTGTTGGTTTCTTTCTCCAGCAAATTTTCCCCATGTTTCCAAAATCTTTGGATATCATTTACATTTCCACATAAATACTGTAAAAAAAATTCAAAGATGTAAATTTCCATACAACAGAAAATTAAATTGGTATGGAAGTAGGGAATATACATGCATTAATATCAACCAAAATTCTTTTTCATTTTTTTTTTCATTTCCAAGCTTACCTGATACTTCTGATTGTTTTTAAAATGCTCCCCCACTATAACATGATCATATTCCATAACTAAATTAAATGACAACAACATATCAGTAAGAAAGCAGGGAATTCTAAATGGTTTGATTTACTTTTAGCGATAGGCCCTATATGATAATTTCGGTAAACAAAATCAAATATTTCTTGTAGATACATGTAGAAAATAGATAATTGTCAGTATAATTTAAATATTAAATATGCCCTGCTGTTCAATTTGGTGAATAAATATGAAGCATTCTAACATGCTCCGTTTTTGTATTTATCTAATTATTAAGTAAAAATACAACTGTTAAGTCGTTATGCTATGCATGACATGAGCAATAACGAAAATAATGTTTTCTGGCATATGATACTAGATTATATCTAAATAGATAAATCTCTATTTATAAGTAAAATCGACTTGATGAAATAAAAAAAATTGTAGATTCTACTGATAAAATTAAAATAAAATAATTGCACTTACCTCTTTTTGCTTTTTCTTTGGAGAGTTTAATATATAAATTACGCCTCATTTAAAAGAATTGTTCTTTTCTCTTAAAGATGTTTAGGAGATTTAAACCAAAGAAATCATTTCTTCCGGAAAATGACAACACTGTCACATAGCGAAAGTTTATAAAGATTATTGACAAGTAGAGTCGTGTTTTAAAAATTAAAGAAAAATATGACACATGAAACATCATCATATGATGGTTCGATTCAAAGAATAAAAGTCAATGATGTGCATCAACAATTTGATGACTACGGAATTATAAACAAAGGAGATGTAATAAATGGTTTCACTGTTGAAAAAATTGAAAGTAAGTACCTACAAAT